AAAAAAATTCCGATTCACAATGAAAAGGATTTCTCTCTGTAATCGGCTGGTTTTGGGGGGCTTTAGGGCGTAATTATTACGGTCATTAGAGATTTTAATTAGTTTAACTGTATTAATCTAATTTGTTCACTTTTTAGCATAGAGAGCCTAATTTCCCCAAATATAATTGGGTGTAATTTCCACGGCTAAAAATAACAAAGATAACGGGTCGGGCCCAAAGTTCTTGCATTAATCCATATGGGCCTCAACTCGATCCAATTTGCTGATGAACAAGTTGAGTGTAAACTTTTGCAACACACACCCTTGGCCGCTTGCATATAAACCTATGTTCTTATGGTTTTACCAATTACACTTTGGGAAAATTAGACCCAATACCCTAAAAAACTGACTAAATTGATTAACACCCTAATAACTAATTAAATCAATTAAGAACGTATTAAATACGTTATAAAACCCCCAAACCCTCGAATATATCTTTCATCCCACCACATTATAATCAAATTCTGCACACTCTCGACTTCATTTCTCTCTGTTAATGGCAAGAACAGTATGTTCAAACACATTCCTTCAATTTCATCACTACAACTGATGCCTTCTCTCTGGTTCCAATGACCAAATCTTTCAAATTCTTTGCATTCGATGGTTTTCATGAACAGGTGATTTTCGGCAGCTAAGATAAACATGAGCTTGAAAGTCGACATTGTTGGCCCGGTCCCCAGTGTCGAAAAATCAACTTCATTTAACTCTGTAGTATTGTCTCTTTTCTGCTTCATGATCAATTGAATTAATTGTAAGTTTTTTCTTTCCTTTTCGTGCTTGTTCATATGGGAGTAACATTTTATTGTTTTCTATATCTCTGCTTAAACTTGTTATTTAATCGACAATCTAGATACAAATCACTTATTTTCCCCAACAATCTAAAATCAGGTTTGATGAATTGTATGTACTACAACACTCTTTCTCTTACTGTGCTTGTTGTTTCCTTGTAACGTTTAAGTTTTGAACATAAGGCTTTAGTTTAATATCCAATATGTGACCTTGTTTTGTCATTTAAGTTTTAGACACTGTCTCAGAGCCAATTCAATTATGTTTCATGTTGTGAGTTTATATTTTCTTGTTATTAAGTAATCAATAACGTTAAAAATTTGAATTTTGTTCTTATCAGTGACTACATAAATCTCTAATATTAGTGGTCCTTAATGAATAAGAAATGAGCAGGTAGTTAGATTGGACTTATTGTAGTTTATGAGCAGTCTCTTGAGTGAACTCTATGCTGTAAATTTTGCTTACCAATAACCATAATGGATGAAGATATGAACAACCATTTGAATGGCAATTTTCTGCTCCTCTCCAATGAGAAACGTTTGATTAATCACACTTCCTATCCTGCCAATTATAGTTATGTATCTTGGATTGTATTATGAGCTTGGGCTTCCCTTCATGTTTCTTCAACTTGAGATTTGGTTCCATTGGAGTAGCCATTTCTTTTGACTCCCATGTACTGAATATTTCCCCCGTTTGCTACCTCCATTGTTGCAAAGAACAAAAACTTTTCTTTTACACTCAAACTCCCATTTTTCAGGTTTTGATGTGCAGCGGTTCAAAGAGCAAAAATTGCCATTTTGATTTGGAGATGGAGGCTGAATTTCAAGAGAATAAGGGAAGAGTTGCCTATAGAAATTGCTCAAATTTGCTTGAATTGGCAGCCACACACGATCTGGATGGTTTTATATGTGAAGCAGAGGAGAGGGGTTGTGATATTGATGTCAAGGTTTTCACTTAGTATTTAAAAAGTTGTTTTGGTTTAACATTAGTTCAAATGGTAGCTTATTGATCTCTATTAACATCCAATAATTGCATCTACTTTGTTTGAGTGATGAGAGTTGCATAAATATTACATTTTTCAGCCAGATAAATTCATTGGTTACACTCGCAAAATCAATATAATTTGTCTGTTAGTTACTCCATTTTCAAAAGT